GAAGACTCGCACCTGCCGCCCGCCGCGCCACGCCGCCGCGTCTGACCCTCTGAGAACCGCCCCAACCAATCCGCTCTGATCGATTGGCAAGACCCACGAGACGCCGCTTGTGACCTCTCGAACGAACGGACGGCTTCCGTCAAAGGCCGTGAAGATGGCTTCCCCGCCCTGCCACCAGCCGCCCATAGAACGGGTCCCCTCCAGGAACCCCATTTCGTGGTCCCGGCACGCCTTTTGACCGCAGAGGCACTGGAAGCTGACCGTGTGGTCGACCTTGACGAGCCGGGGGACGTTACTGAGCCCTCGATCCGTGGCAGAGATGTCCAGGAGGCGCCCACTGGAGGCGTCGAGCAGGGACACAAGAAAGAGGCCGGGGGCGACGGCGATCGGGGGGATCTTGCTTCGGGTGAGCTCCGAGAGGAGGGCAACCGAGCCGAGCTCTCGTGGGCTCGGCCCCTCATCGAGCGCCCTCTTTACCCCCCGCTTCAATGGAGCAGCCGTTCTAGATTCGCGGCAGAATGGGCAGGCGGCAAGGTCCCTCCTCTGCACGAAAAACTGGTGGCCGCCCTCGCTTGCCTCCTCCCCTGACTGTACCTCTCGAAGCTCCTTCGTCCCATGGAAGGTTTCATACTTGGTAAAAAGCTCTTGCTGAGGAACGGGGCATCCGCTCGCGCTCGAGACAAAGGGGCGTCCAGCTTCATACTCGGCTTCTACGCACCGCAAGCACAGGAGGTGCCCTCCTCCACCCCGACAGATCAGTGCTCCACCCCTGTTCCGTTTCCGCTCCCAGACAAAGGGTTCGCTGCCCCGCGTGTAGACCGCTCCTTTCCCGCTGCACGTGCGTCCAATGCACGTCGAGCCGAATCCGCCTCGAGCAAAAGCTCCAGCAGGCTGCAGACTGAAGGCAAACCCATAGTCGAACATAAAGTCCGTGCCCCCCTGCTTGGCTGCATAGGACGGGCGCCCTCCTCGCACGCCCCCAGCATTTGGCAGGGGCGGGACGGCAGCCGGGACGCTTCTGACGTCGCGGAAAAGTGGAGCCGAGCCCTGGAAGTAGACTGCCGCGTAGCTCCGAACGGCTTGACCAAGGGCTAGCGCCTCATGCAATTGTGCGTTGGCGGCGGGGTTGGTTGAGGCGAGGAGCACGACATTGGAAGGCTCTTTCACATCTCGAGAGACCGTCGCAGGGTCCATCCTGCCACGGGAACGAAAGAGAAACTCTGAGTTTTGGTCGTTCTCAATCTCCCTAAGCTCTTGCAAGATTCTAGTGGGTTCTCTTGCATCTTGGAACAGCGCCATCAGCATCCACCTCACGGCAAAGCAGATCCTGGCATTCTGAGCCCGAATCTTATCCCTAAGCTCTTGCAAAAACGCATAATTCTACTCATAGTGATCGATGCGAGAATTGAAGGATCGTTGGCTAATCTCACGGGCAAGAAAGGAGCATGTTGGCACGAGCTGGCGGTGCTTGCTGGAGGTTGACAAGGTCCGGAGAGGCCCGTGCTGGTGCAACGCGGCAAGGTTTGGCGAGAACTGGCAGCATGTGGGCCAAAAGTACCATGGACCAGACTCGAAGTCGGCATAACCCCTTGACCGTTGCCAGCCTGCAGATAAGATGTTGTCGTAAAAAGCATAAGCGCTGAGAGAGTCGCGGCAACCCTGTGCAAGACATGGGCGCTCACACGGGCAGCCATTTTCAAACTTTCAGTGGCATTTCCAAATTGTCAGTGGCAACCAGTCAGAACTTCCTCCATGAGTAGAAGCTTTGTATACCTCTAGGTCAAAGCTTTTGACTCATAGGCAAGACCGTCTTTCTCTGGAGAAGGCTGTGAGTGATAGTGCACACCAGTCAAAGGTTCCTTTGTATGTATAAGCTTTTCATCCCTTGAGGACGAATCTTTTGACTCGTGAGACATTTCGTCCATTTTCCCAGAAAGTTGTAAGTGATAGCGCAAGACAGTCAAAAGCTCCCTCGTGAGTATAAGCTTTTCATCCTCTGAGGTTAGGAATTTTGACTTGATTGTAAGGCCGACCATTCCACCAACAATCCAACAGATGTTGTGAGTGATAGCGCCCGCCAGTCAAAAGTTCCCTCCTAATATAAGCATTTGAGCTTTTCAAGACAGAACTTGTGACTTCTCCGCAAGGTCGACCATTCAACGCAAGATTCTCAATAGCTGTGGGTGATAGCACCCACCAGTCAAAAGTTCCCTCTTGATATAAGCATTTGAGCTTTTCAAGATCGAACTTCTGACGTCCTCGCAGAGCCGACCATCCCACCAGCGATTCGACAGATATTTTTGACTCGCTGCAAGGCCGGGCCGACCATGCATTCTACCAAGAATCCGACAGATGTTGTCAGTGATATGGTGATAGCGCCCACCAGTCAAAAGTCCCCTCTTGATATAAGCAATTGAGCTTTTCAAGATAGACCTTCTGACTTCCTCGCAAGGCCAACCATTCCACGCAAGATTCTCAAACGCTGTGGGTGATAGCGCCCACCAGTCAAAACTTCCCTCTTGATATAAGCAATTGAGCTTTTCAAGACAGATTTTTTGACTTCCTCGCAAGGCCAACCATTCCACGCAAGATTCTCAAACGCTGTGGGTGATAGCGCCCGCCAGTCAAAACTTCCCTCTTGATATTAGCTTCTAAGCTCTTCACAACAAGAGTTTTCACTTTCAGCCTCTGAAGACACTATGTCCACGATAGTAAAGACCACTGCTAATAGCGGCGACCAGCGACGCGCACGCAAGGGAGGCATCACAACCTGATTGTGTGGCATGATAAGCGCCGCTATGTGTCAAAGTTGAACGCCCTGCCCCAATGAGTTCCATTTAAATTCAATCCGTTTGAAAGTACAGCACCACCCTCCTCTTGCAAAGCGAGCGGCACATGCTGGAAAACATCCAAGAAGCTCAGCAGAGCAAATGCCCCCAGCTAGTTGTCAGTACTTCAGTTGAATGCGATCAACAAGAGAGTTGTGCACTTGAATGATGATTGCACACGCAAAAATACCAAGGTCCACCGCGTATTGCACACACACCTTGATCCGGAGTTGCGACGCGACCAGATCATTGTAATGGTCGATCTCGCCTCTCGCTCACCATAGCGCTGCTGAATCCTTGCGCAATCTTTGAATCCAGAAGTCCACATACATATGGTGACACAGTTCGTGGAACAGAATGTATGTCTTTGGCTGAGTGCACTTGGGGGAGGGCCAACGCGTAGACTTGGGGCCGCTCAGCCGAGTGGCTTAGCTCAGTGTACATAGTGACACTGACAGGGAAGGCTCGCGGCTTGCCAGAGCCTTGCAAGGGGTCTTGCGAGTCAGGCAGCCTTCAGTGTGGCTTTTAAGGTTGCCTAGGCGCATAGCTTATGGGATTTGGGGCCAGACCGGGCACTTTCACTGCTTCC